CCCTGTGATTAGAATTTCTGGGTCCCAACCTCCCTCGATCATAGAAAGTCGTTCGTCCCCAAATTGTTGAACGTGTTTTTTGTTGTTGAACTTGAAGTCGATTTACGATGTTGGTTGTGAGGCAAATCGTCGTTGAAGAAAAGAGGAATTTTTGTTGATGTTGATTTTGTTTAGTTGTTGAATTAAGCATATTTCGAATGTTGATTATTACGTTAATCGTTGAAGTTGGACGGATTTTATTGTTGATGTAGAAAAAAAATTTTGAAGTGTAGATTGGTTGTTGATGTTGGTAGTGATTTTGATTCGTTGAATTTTGCACCATTCCGCCTACCATAGCAGTCATTTTAGGTTTTATCACCCTAAGCGGTACCAATCCAGCAATTTAACCCCGCTAAAAGTGCGACAAGCTCCCCCGTCATTTTTATAGGGGAGTAACCCCCCCCGGGAGCAGTTTACCAGTTCTCAGCGGATCCAGTTAGCTTGAATCTAAAAAAAGGTTGCCTACAACGGTGTAAATGTGCGTAACGAGAGGATCAATCCCAGAGCGAAAATTTTTTTTCCAGAATCCATATTGGGCAGTCACGCAATGGGGGAGAAGCGTTGCGTGACGACATTAAAAACGGCTGTGCAGCAGACTATCAAAGACTTTGACCAATTCCGGTAGCTCAGTCACCTTAGTGTATATCTCCAACAAAATGAGTCAACAGGTCAACCCATCAGAGTCAGAAATGTGCCAATAAAGCAATAAAGATAAATATCTCTCAATTTAAGGAAAGTACCAGGGTTTTGTAGTCCAGCTAGTCCAGCAGATCGGATTGCATGCGGTTTGGTACCCAATTGAAATGTTTCAACGTTAAACTTCTACAGAACTGAATTTTAAAACGTTTGCAGAGCATGCCAGAATTTGCAGAAATTTGTGGTCTTTGTTGTTCTGTCGGAAAACCCGTAAACCATCCCTTAACTCCTTAAAACACTTCTCATCCGATTCCTACGGCCTGTGATCCCAGATCCCGCCGCTGTATTCCCTGATCACACTCTAATTTTTACTGTTGACCCCTGATCCCATATACCTCGTTACGACCTTGTTTTATCGGGAGAGTCTTGTAACTTATGAAAAAGGGAACATCTGTAAGAACGAGGTGGCTGTAATAAGCAGGTGTCCATTCACAAAGCCGGGTTCAACTGTACACTGTACAAATGTTTGCGTTAAGGAGATATTTCATTAACCCAGGAGCCTACTACTAATCGGCTATTGTTCTCACTACGCTTTTCCTTACTTTTCATTTGGGATGACGCAACTTCTGGAAAAGGTCATGCACGTTAGACGTGCCTGTGTTTACGGTTGGGGGACTAAGTACTCCTCCCTAGGTATCTACGTCATGTACGGGGACATTGACAGAAGCGAAATCGCAGCGAACAGAGTTAGATCTTGTGGATTGATCACATAAGTGCTGAAACCTCATTTAAAAAGGTAAGAAAAGCTTCTCAGTATATGATATATCATCTTAGAATGAATTCAGTGACAGGACTGATCGACAGTAACGAAAAAACAGTATTTTAGAAGCTCATTAATGGCGGGCGATTGTAGCTTGTGCATAGACACGGGGCGCAGAGGAGTTTTTTGTGACCTTGATTGCTGTTAAAATTTAAAGTTGAAAGCGCCAATCGCCTTTGTTTATGCAGGTATCAATGTTTGAAAAGAGAGGGGAGCAGAGGGTACGGTATGGCATTTGAAATCTCCCGTGAGGAGACAGAGAAATTGTTCAAATACAGTAAAAACCCGCATATACATGTATAAAGAACCCAAACCTAGTGATTCAAGAACCTGACCATGATTGTAAAAAAATGATATTAACTCCATGGTAAGACAGTTCTTGCAACAGTAATTTCTTGGACTTTGTCTCTTTAGCAAAAGCGATAATTTGAGTAGACAAA